ACTACAATTTTGAATACCAGATTTGAGATTGCTCTACAGGGTACATAAAAAATAACATTTTCAATTACTTCGATTTGGATTTTTTAAAAATATTATCTAAACCGTGATTTTCTATGTACACAAATTGTGCAAAAAAGTCTAATAAACATTTTTCCCAAAGTAGGTAATTTCGTAACTAATTCCTTATAAATTGTTATATCTTTATTTTTATTTTCAAATAAGCTAGCTAGTTTTAATTATTCAGTAATTAAAATCAAGCAGCCTGTTCTAAATAAATGAAACGTTTTCAGTTATGATCTGTCAAATTGTTGATAGTTATGTTATAATTTTGACTTGTAAATCGCAGTTGTAAGACAATTCTATGAGGTATGGGATAACAGAGTAAAAAAAATATAATTGTAATGAAATTCAAGAGAACGGGTAGTGTTTTGAATAAAAAAAAAAGTAAAAAAGAGTACAATGAAGATGAACTTTAATGGCGATAGATTGGGCTAGGAATTTTCTAACATTGTTAAAAAAAGGATCTCAAATTGGAAATGTAAGTACCTAAATATTTACTACAAAAGATATTCAAGATCAATAAAATTCGCCCGTATAAACTTAAATTTAACCAGTTTTGAACTTTTTTTATGCATGGGAGAAAATTCTTAGACATTTTGTTGAAAATGTAATTATTTCCGATGAGGCAAGTTTTAATATAAACGTAACAATTAGTTCGCAAAACAGTCGATATTGAAGCGATGACAACCCTCAAGTTTGATGTGGTATTCCCTACAACGGAATCATTGGACCATATTTTTTTGAATTTAAATCAACACGGTTATTTGATATGCTGAATACTTTTTTATGACCACTTGCAAGATATACCCTTGGCTAATAGCTGAAAATTATACTTAAAAATAGCTGTCCCGCTTATTCAACGATAATTGTTCATAACTGGCTAAATCATCAGTTTGGAAACAAATATATGGGGAGAAATGGTCCAAATCAGTGACCACCTAGAAGCCCAGGTCTCACATTTATCGACTTTTATTTATATCTGAAGCAAATTGTGTATAAAATCAATTTCAATAATAACTTGAATCTCTTGAAAGATAAAAATAAGTTATTGAAAATATCCCAACAGAGCAAATAAGGAAATGTTATTCAGAATTTAGATATCGAGTTGAACTATAAGCTGAACTTGGTAATGCTACGTTTGCCTGCATATTTCTCCTTAAACGTAAGAAAATGACTTCATCAAAACCTTCGAGAAAGATGGATAGCTCAGAGGGAGCAACGCTCCCATCCAGTGCTCAGCACGTTCACCTGATTTAAATCCAATGGATTTCTTCTTCTGGAGATTTATAAAAGACAATGTTTATGCCGTTGAAATGTATAATGCGGGCCAACTTTGGCAAAGAATTTTAGATGTAGCTAATAGAATTAATTCATCAGATGCCCGGTATCTTTTCAAGAATACAAGCCTCCCTAAGTAGACGTTTAACTGACTGCATAAATGCAAATGGTCACCACATTCAGCAAATGCTGTAATAGTTTTCTGCAAATTGTATAATCTTTAAAACAGTTTTTTATTATAATTTTATAATAATTTCCTTTGGCTATTGCTTTATCGTTTTTTTTTGCACATTGATGTGTTTTGATTTCCCATTTTTAAGTTTAAATTCTCAATAGTATTTGAATTATTATTTAGTATTTATTTGAATGAAATAATGCAACATAAATAAATTCCCAAAAAAAATTACTTTAGCATTTTATTATTGTCTGCCCGTTTGCGATTCGTCTGCCTGGAAATCGTTTTGCACACAACCTAGCAGCTAGTGCTGCGTTTACATCACTTTTGCCCAAAATTAATTGAATTAAATTCGCTATAATGTTTTCGTAAGGGAAAAGTTTATAAATTTCTTACCCGATAATAAATGCATATATGCGTACATACTACTCATTTAGTGCAAATTCAGGCATATTTCTATCAAAAGCTAAAGGAAAGGTAAAATTTATTAATGACAGTCTAAAAATTAGTAACTGGAAATTTGCATATAAAGAAAATGTTTTGCCATTAAGGAAAATATTCCTTTTGAAGAAGGCTGGATAATTTCCTTTAAAAATATTACTGAAATATGGCCATTTGTCGATAAGTTGGGTTCAAATTGAGTTTAACAGCAGCATATGTTTCTGGTTACGTATTTTAAAAAAATAAGTTACTGCAGATCGGGGCGCTATCGTCCTCTGGACTAAACCAAAATGAATGTACCTTACTACTGTAATATTTACAACATAGTTCTATAAACATTACTTTGAAAGTGATAAAATGAAGAAAGCATTTGTTACAATGCCGAATCTATCCAAAAACTGTGGCAATGTCAACCAAAACTTACTGACAAAATAAATAGTTCAGATTTGTATAGATTACAATGACATGCTAACACACAGAAAAAGTTAAAAAATGACAAAGCTTGCTGAATACTCCGTAATAATTTGTACTAAAGATTTACCATACTTTTTTACTTTCTTATTTAATATAAGTTTAGATCGGTACCTGGACTAGACGAATGACCACAAACTTGACCATAGCCTTATAACTCCAACACATGAGCTTGTGCTGCTATTTTTCATATTTCAGGAACCAGGCGGCTTACACAAATCACATGGGATCCATCTGCACGTGGTTGGGCAATTTCATAACCTCGCTAAATGAAGCCTTCATTAAGTCCTTTATATTCTAAAGTCAGCATCATCTAGGGAGCAACATTGTTAATGGGTCAGTCGAATAACAAAAAATAGAACACGTAGTTTTGAAATGGCTACTAAAAAGGAGCTATACTTCCCTAGATTCAAACAGGAACTCTCCACGAGGGCATATCTATAACGCCACAAAGTCAGCCTCCAAAACGGGATGACGACGACGTACGGAAATGCTCCCTTTTCACTAGAATGTTACACAAAAAACACATACCTGTCTTCATCGAAACTGAACACAAAAACTATACTGTATCACTTACCTCCATTTTCATGACAATAAAGACAAAGCTACAATGCTACCAACTCTTAAACGCATCACACTAGATCAGTGCCAACTTTTTATTGTTATAGTACATATTCTGCATTTATAAAATATAAATATTCATATTGTGATCTTTCATTGAAACATGTTAAAATATTTGTTAACTTACATATAAAACATTTTCAGAGCAGCTGATTAGCCGAAACTAGTGATGTCAATATTGTAACTAACTGCTTAAAGCGTATACTCTCGGCGAGATCCGAAGCACAGCACATATCTATTTTTTATTTTTGATGTTCCGCATCTAATTAAAGCGCTAAGAAATATGCTAATGAAGTATAACTTTTATATTGATGGCAAAAAAATATCATGGCAATACATAAGAGAATTTTATGAAATAGATAAAAAAATTCCTGTAAAAGCAGCACATAAATTGACAGATGCCCACATTTACCCCACAAATTTTCAGAAGATGAAAGTTAAACTAGCCACACAAGTATTTAGTTTTTCAGTTCATGTAGGGATGAGCTTTTATATAAGATTTGGGTCCCTTCCCGCAGAAGCTGCTGAAACTGCGCAGTTTGTTCACACAATTGACCAGCTATTTGATATTTTAAATTCCTCTCAAAGTTTTTCCCCAAAAAAATATAATGCTGCTTTTAAAGGTCAACCCTTTCAATTAGAATTTTTAACAGAATGCTTGACTCTTTTTGACAANTTAAACTCGTGTCCGATCTTTGTGCTGAGGTGTTCTTGGTCGCATTCCGTCGATTTATTGCCCGACGAAGTCGATTTGGACATATCTATAGTGATTGCGAAATAAATTTCGTCGGCGCCAATAAATTATTAAAAAACTCATCTTCGTCGAGTGGTAGGTGATCAGATCTTAACAGACTGGAAGAGAGAGGAGGGGTCGACCACAAGACAGGGGGATTTCACGATGTCACCTTTGGAGTGTGCAAAATTTTTCAACCAGGAACCACATTATCGAGATCTTGAATTCTACCAATTTGTGTCTTTCGTGAGTGTAATATTGACAAAATAGTTCGGTGACGTACTTTTTCCTCTAGATGCTGCTAGATGGTGCAGGTGAACGAATTGAACATTCAGGTAAGAGCAACAGATTTCGCCGCAAAACCTTTTTCTCCAGCACATTCTTTCTAACCTTTTTTCCCGTTCTTTTAGAAAGACATAATTTCGACAGTTTGTTTTGTACACAGGACCAATTGTTTTAGTCTATTCTGAATAATGATTTGCATTTAAATTTTCTCTCATTCCACGTTGCTTTAACAGTTTTATCCAATGTTAAAACACAGGAATTGGATATCGAATATGTCAACACTGTATTGAAATATTTTGTTGATACTTTCATTATTTTATGTCAAAGAAAATGTATCACACAATGTACAATGTAGGTACCCAGACAGCACCGTATCTTCCTAGAATATTCTCTAAATCTTCTAAAAATGTTATATATATTCCGAATAAACCTAGAATGTTCATAGAATATATATACGCTTATATAATATTCCTGCAACCTCCGATTATAAATATATGTATAATATTCCCCATAGATATACTAGTAATAATATATCAAGAATATTCTTCAAAAAATATTCCTAGTACATTCTCGAATATACCATGGTCACGGTAGTATACAAGGAATTCATTTTCGTTTATTGTGCAGTTATCCTAGCGTATAAACCTACCACAATGTAACACAACCAATAAAAATTAATATCAGTAGGTAAGTATTATATTATTATATATTTCGAATGAAAATGATGACCTTATATAAATTATGTAATTAATACCTATTTGAATTTTAAATATAGAAAACAGATTATTGTAATTAAAATATAAGTAAGAGAAAACGATTTCAAGTTAAAACGGCCAAATTTAAATACAATGTTGGTATCTCTCATATTTTATATTTTATAGTTGGTAGTGATATAATGTAGTATTTGCTCATTGGTTGGTTGGGTTCTGGAATTTATGTCAGCCATTGTGTCGCGTCCATATTGTGCTGGGTGAAGACCCTGTGAAGACTGAAGAGTGTATTGAGACTATTGAGATTGAATTATATGTTATATTAGAGACATCATTAGTAGTAATAAATTACATTGTGCTTTGTTGTGTCTCCTAATAAGTGGCTGAACAGAAAGTAAGTTTATATTATTTGTTAATAAAATGAAGAGAAAACGAAGTAGTACGTGGTACGTGGTTGATGGGGTGTGCTTGACTTTGGATGAAATTAAAATTCTTCTATCACGTGTAGTAGACGAACAAGGAAAAGCTAATGAAGGGGATTCCATTAGTGAAATAATTGATATATACCAAAACCTACCAATAACCTGCCTAGATGATTTGGAGAAAATAGAAACATATTTGGAAGATAAAAATGCTCGGAACAAATTTGTAAGTCAAATCTACATATTTCTGCAGAACTATTGATAGGGATTAAGTTGAGAATTAGTCAATTACCACTCCAAATTAAAAATATATTAACACATTATTATAATTACAAAAATGGACCTTCACAATACATTTTGCTTTTAATACTGCCATTCTTTCTTTTCTTCTATTGCACTATGATGTCGAATGACGATCAATTAATAGCTAGTCACATCGTTATAGTTTTAAAATCAGTAATCTGTGTCTAGTTTTCAAATTACAACAGCTAAAAGAAGTTATTTATAGTATCTGATATAGCAGAATTTTCATATTTTCAAAATCAGCTCAATCATTGTCTAGTTTTTCAATTATGATCATAAAGATCACAACTACTGACAGAAAAGTTGCAAGCAATTCAGCAAGTTTCTAGATGCTAGAGTATTGCTATGAATTAAAAATGTTGAAAGCATTTTTAAAACTTTATGAGAGCACTTTAAAATCTGCAGTTAATAAAATATTTTTAATTTTACATTCTGACGAACAGCAAAGGCGCATTAGGATTTATAGAAAAATTATTTCATATATTTGTTATTTTAATATATATTTTTGGATAGACAATTAGTGAAATATATTTAGTATTGATATTTATTGAAAAATGTTTTTATTAGATTGATGATTTACGAAGGCTTGGAGGTTCTAGTTATAAAGAATGCTGCCGCCGGTTTATGAAAAAAATGCTTAGTGATGATGTCGCAAAACTGTACAGTGTACATGGTCATAAAGGAAAAAGAGTTTTTGCTAAAACGATGGTTTTTTCAACTGTTATAGGTAAGTGTTTTTACATTAAATTGTAATTATTTTATTAATTCAACCTTGCTTCATAATCTTAAACAATTTGCCAATATCTTTTAAGTAACACAAGTAATTTATATAATAAGGAAAACAATGTGTAATTTTTTTGCAAAATTGTTATACGTTTAGATTCGTAACAAATCGTTAATAATTTTGTACTTGTAAATTAATAAATAAAAACTAAAAAAATAGAATTAGCTACCTTAAAATGTGTCAATTAATTGGCTAATATTGAAATAAAAATGTTAAACTTTACTTTCCATTATTCAATTGCCGAGTTTGTCCGACGAACATTAGAGTCTGTCTACGATTGCAGATATTATTATTCCAATACTATGTTGCTAAGGGTGATATATTATATATTTTCAAGAGTTGAAACTTAAACAATTATTATTATATTATTAATTAATATTACTTTTAATAAAAAGTAATATTTTTGTTATTATTAAACTGAACATTTATGTATATAAAAAATATTTTTGACGTTTGGAATGAATGTAATAATTACAGGTTTTTTTTCCAGAGGCATTATTAATTTGTGACAAAACCACAAATGCAAAAAATGTAGAAATTGTATTAGGACAGTGGTTGGCTAAAGCGACAGAGAGAATACACAAGAATGAAAATGTAGCAGAGAACTGGTGAGTTTATAGTTATTGCAAAATAATTTGTTTTCTTTATAAATTTTTGTGAAATTGTTATCAATTATTCAAAATTTAGAAATCTCTAGCAAGTAGGTACTTGTTATATATATATACATATATATATGGACAGTCAAAATATTTTGTCACATTGGCAACACTGAGATTGAATTATTGTCATTTGCCATGTTTTATTTACCTAATTAGGTTTTGGTCTAGGTATGTTCCTAAAGTTTGTTGTGGTGGAAAAATATTAATACATTTCCAACCAAATATCAATGCAGCACATTCAGTTGAAAATAGTAATGATGTACAAATTTAAAATCAAAATAGTGAACAGTGTTAGTTTTAAAAAAGCCATCAAGGCCAACGAGTAGAAAACAAAAAAACTTATGTAATTAACGGGGCGTTTTCATAAAAAAAAATGTGTAGTATTTGATGACTATAATTTTTTTTTTATTTTAGGAGAAAGGAGGGAGGACCAGGAGGAAGTAGCAGACAAAAAGATGACTGATGAAAAATGATGATAACTAATGTACAATGATGATTAATGAAAAAAATAAATAGTTCAACAGCTTATTATTAAGTGTAGTTATTATCCCTACCATATTTTCTAAATAATGGATATTCAAAGGATGGTTTTAAAATATGCATAGAAGAATCACTAACATGTTCGCAGAATATCCCTTGAATATTCATGTAATATCTATCAAATTCAATTTCTTATTAATAATATATTCTAGGTACATCTTTGATGTATTAAATATACGAAGTATATTCATCTAAGAATATTCTGATTTTAGATATTCTGTGTATATTCTTTGAATATTTGTGAATATCTGCAGGATATTCTAAAATGTATATTCAAAGTTTATCTGAGATATTCCAATATGACGATTGTAGGAATATTCTCAAAAGTATAAATATATTCAAAACAGATTCTGTGAATAATCAAATGTTCTGAAACGGATGTACTTGGATTATTCTGGGAATATATATTGCTGTCTGGGTACTTAATACACTTATGTAGTGATTCAAAATAATATGAAACTTTAATATAAAAAAAAAACACAGGAGAGAAATGTCTTGGAATCTCTCTAGGTAATCAATAAGTTAATATCCCATAAAACAAAATTCTCAGCAAAAAGAATTCAAAATTTTGATCTTTAGTTTAATGTCATATTTTCATTTAATAAAATATTACCAACCTAAGTAATCAAGAGACAGGCAGTGAATTTAAATATCAACCAAAAATTTGTCATTTTCAAAAATAAATACCATAAAGGCACTTGACGATTTTTTAGTAATAAATTTTTTGTAAATAAAATTAAATTTCACGTATGCTGTGAAATTTTAGTCCCTGCATGGGCAAAAAGTAATATTTATATTTAAAACCAAACTTCTATTTTATTGTATTGAAAACTACACTTACAAAAGTTTATAAAAAATTTCAGAAATGACTAGAGGAGATTCTGCCTCAAACTCCATGCCTGGGTCCAATAAAGAAATCATGTCTAATGATTTTACCAGTGAAGATAAAACATGTAAATGTTGCACAGTCCACCAGAAAAAAATAGGTTTGTAACTGCATTTTTTAAAAATTTTTGTAAAGTACCTCCCAGTAAACATGCGAGGTTACATACATTCTGGAGAACTCTAGAATGCAGGGGCTTTATATGTATATTTTATGCGACTTGTATAAAACTTCTTCAATACTTTATCTTAAGATAGTTAATGTATAAAGTTATGCTAAAAATGGAGTTACTATGAGATGTTTTTAAGATATTTAAAAAACTTTTCAGTTAAACATCTTCTTCACAGAACAAAGTTAGACATCATCTATATGTTTTTTTATTATTACTAATAAGAAGCATTTTTGTTGTGCTTATAAATAAATAATAATTTACTTAACTATTCACATATGGTAAAATATAATTCGAGAGCTCTAAAAGTAGTTGCTAATACTTTCAAAATATTCTTTTAAATAGAACCGCTCTGCGTTGACTTGAGACTTGAGATTCATGTCGGGTACATTTTTCGGACAATTTAAAAAGCAACATTTAACTGGTGTCATTATTACATTTAACATTTGTTAAAAATTTGTTGACGTTTTATTGAATTTTTGTTTGTTGAATCTTCGTCATAAAAATATATCGAAATTTCATTGGTCAACTTTTCATTAATATCTTATGAGCCTTATTATACGTTGTCTTTTTTCAATTCTGTGATATTCTTCTGTCTGATGGTACTACTGTTCTGTCTTCTGCTTCTGTCCACTCCACAGGTGTTCTGTGTTATGGTAATTATTATGGTTATGTTCATCGCGCCATTGCGCCTTTTGCGTAAGTACCAGGTAAGTACCAATTTATTTGAAAGCAAGCTTTTTAATAAATTAGATAGGTTATTTATGGGCTGGATTTCAAAAAGCAATGTACATATAAAGGCAGGTACCTAAAAACTACCTAGGTACTTTATCATAATAAATGTGATTACACAGATCTGACTACCTATATGAACATTAATGTACACTTTGATTTGAGCTTATTAGTTTTACTGATTATTTCATTTATTATTGTATTTATTATTTAATATGCAGTGCATATATACCTTAATGCTAATCAAATTTTTTATCCTTTCACACATTTTTTTCTCTGCATTACAGAGTTTATACTCGAGTGTATAATATGGAGAGTAAATATAAATCTCTTAAACATATTTCCCAGAGACACAAAAGAAGGTTGCTATTAAAACAAGTCCCTTTACTTGAAACATATTTCCACAAAAACAGCTACCGTCTCTGCTGCTACAGGTTTATGTACACAAGTTAACAATAAAACATCTCCAATATTTGAAAAACCAGTTATTCCAATGATCATTTTTGAAAATAATATTGATAGTATGGAAATTGATAATGTCGATAAAATAGAGGTTCAATTCTCGGACATACACGACTGCTCTCTCAGTGGTGAGGTTGACGAACATATAGTAAAGCCTCGAGAGAAGTCAATACCACCTATAAATGAAAACGTTCCAAATTTAAGTACTAATAATTGCGAAATCACAAACAAAATCCGATTTTGGGCAATTAAAAATAATATAACTCTATCNGTCCGAAGTATCGACATAAAAAATACTCTTTAGTCAAGGATTTTATAAATCCTTGCTCTTTAGTAATGAGCCGTTACCCTGTATTGAGAATACACCATAGAAAAACGTATTTATATTTTTCTATGGAAAACACGCAGCGTTCCGTGTTGAAATGTTAGCAGTGTTGCCAACAGTGTTGCCAATCGGTGTATAATTATACGATTTGTGTATATTTTGTACTACTTGTGTATAATTTTCTAACCTTGAGTATAATCGTATAATTTTCGTATCTTTTGAGTTTGTTAGAAAAAGAAATTTTTAGATATATTTATTATACCACAGAACCACAGAATAACGAAATTATATTTTCGAGATCCTATATTTCTGATTTCAAACTGATTCATTGGTAATATGAGAATGAGAAAGCTGACATTGGTACTAATGTGTTCTAACTATTGCTATCTTTTTTTATCATGTGGTAAATACTCTTAGAGTAGGAATCTTTCCTAATCTAAGTAAATACCGTCACTCGGGGTGATTTCGGACAGTAGGGGCGAATTCGGACATTGGGTAGTTTGCGCAGTTATTTTGCGCTGGCAATTCCATATACTGCATAAAAACAGCGGGATAGGTTCGAATAGGTTAGTACAGGGCCCGAGAACTTATACATGAAAATATGGGGAAACTGGGAACCACGTGACTTGAGATGGATATACAAGTTGGAGAAAGAGTCTATAGATGTCCCAACAAAGATTTTGTAGAATACCAATTTTGACAATTGCAATTATGAATCATTTCATGTAATTTATGTTGTTCATGTTTATTGTTGGTTAGGTTTGGCGAGTGTTGGTGTGTTTTATTTGTGTTTTTAGTGTGTTTTATTAGACATTTCATTCACTGTATAACATGATAATGTCTAATCATATAATCACATTTTTTTATTAATAAAATGTTTTGTTTTTTTTGTTTGTTTTAATAAAAAATGTCTGAAAGCTTGTCGTAATCAGAAGTAGGTAGTTTTTTTATGGATATCAACACAACGAAAAATTTAAAGTTGCATAATAAATCTCTATTACAAGAATTATTCAGATTGGTTTAGTAAAATTATTTACTTGTAATATTTTTTTATTTACCGTGAAAGCTAATACAATATAGAAAGCACTGAAAGCTGCTCTATAATCATTTCCACTTTTTTTTTCAAAATATGTACTGAAATTTGAAATTTTTTCAATAAACATTTGAAAAAGTTAGTATCAAAATTATTTCTTATTTTAAGTAGGAAGGCTATTAGAGCTTTTAAAAGTGTCTTTAATGCTCGAGCGATTTAATGCTTTTTATCAAATGTACCTACTGATTTTCTCATGGTGACAAAAATTATTTTACAAAACCAATTTCTGAGTGATCTGTGTAGGGTGAGATTTGTTATGTAATTTTAAATTTAGCGGCGGCAGAATACCTAAAACAAATATTGAGTAGGTAGGTATATAGTTGTAGAGCATACAACTAGATGGCGCTTCCATCTTTTACCGGCTACAGGTAATTTAACTCACTGTATTACCGATAATTCGTAGAAAAGGAGAGCAATAGAAGTTGGAGAGTGTCAACAGTTAGCGCTGTTAATGACCACGAAATCTGTTCAAATTTCCTATCTACAGCATGTGTTAGTATGTGTCTAGACAATATGTGATAACCAGAGAGCGGACAATTTGTGTCTTTAACCTTGAACATAGATATGTCATTCATAAATCTAGATACATTATCCATGACGCAGTGACGTGTCGGATATGCATCGGAAATTTACGTGATAATTCACGAAAATTCCACGGTACATACATTTTTAGGCGTTATAAAATATTTAGAAAATCAGAAATTGTATACTACATATTTATTAAATAAAGTTCGGTTAAAAATAGTGTCATTCTTTTAATTGGAAATTAGGAGCCAATGTAACGAAAAGCCTCAGGCGACGCACATGATAGAATAGTCCAACTCACGCTCCATTCATAACATCGCTGCAGTTTGAATTCTGACCAATAGGAATTCGATAAACGCAACCGATGTCGACGGATAGACTAGAGATGGGCGCGAGTGTCATTTAATTTCTTTAGAACTAAATTAACTTAATTATTTTCTGGTTATTTAACCTGTTCACATGATTTATGGATTTTAAATAAAGGGTACAAATCTTCGCGAGGATAATACGATATATTTGCTATACATAATAATTATATTTTGCATAGGTTATTACAATACATTTTTGAACGCGTACACATCTCTACCAAAATTTGACCTATTCTTCGGGTTAAAGACACACATTGTCCGCTCTCTAGTGATAACGTGTGCTGTGCTGTTAATTTAAAATTACGGAAACTACAGAACAATTTAGAAGGTAAGGTTTCTGGCGAAAATTTGGTACAGTCAGAAAGAAACTTCTGTAGACAAAAAATGTTCAGAGTTAAAATATAAATTTTACTATCAGCATGTTCAATGACTTATTGTTATAGCCTATACTAAAAATTATTTCATTATTGTTATTACTTTTTTTATAATTTATAATTATACAAAAAAATTGCTTTAGGTGGGGTGAAGTCGGACACTATGGGTCGGTCATATAAGAAGAAATTAGGCGTAAAATTTATGAACTATTCAGATGACAATATACAAAAAGCAATTGCTGACATACTATCAGGAAGAAAAAGTTATCGGGAGGCAGCCGAGTATTACCATATACCAAAATCTACTTTAAATGAAAATCAGGCACAGGCACATAAAATTACAGGGTGACCAACCTCTAATATCGAAACATGATGAGAAACTATTGGCAAACGGTATAAAGCTATTCAGTGAATGGGGGTTTCCCATGACCCGAGCAGCTATACGAGGGGTAGTAAAAAATTACCTGGATAGAAAAGGTCTGAATGTAAAACGTTTTAAAGAAAATCTCCCAGGAATAGACTGGTTTTATAATTTTCTTAAAAGGAATAAAATATTGACAGAACGCTTCGCCCAAAATATTAAAAGATGTAGGGCTAATGTAACAAAAGAAAACGTCAAAGATTATTTCAATAACTTAGAGAATATTCCGGAAAATGTCCCTCCCTGTAACATTGTTAACTACGATGAAACTAACATGACTGATGACCCAGACAAAGTAAAAGTAATTTGTCGTAGGGGGTCCAACAGAGCTGATCGAATAATAGACTCTAGCAAGAGCAGCATATCAGTGATGACGGCTATTAGTGGATCTGGAGAAATGCTACCACCATACACAGTATATAAAGCTGTCCATTTCTACCCTACATGGATAGAGGGAGGGATAGAGGGAGCCGTCTACAACAGGACTAAATAGGGGTAGTTTGATGCTCCCACTTTTGAAAATTGGTTTGAGAAAATAGCTTTACCATATTTTAAGACCCTTGACTGAAAGAAGATTTTAATTGGTGACAACCTAGCAAGCCACGTTTCAATATATGTCCTAGAAATTTGTCAAGTCAATAACATTTGAGTTTGTTTTATTGCCCCCAAATGCGACCCACCTTTTGCAACCCTTGGACGTCGCTTTTTTTGCTCCAATGAAAAAGACGTGGCGCACTGTTCTGACAGAATGGAAACAGAAAAATAAGGGTTGTTTACCAAAATCGGAATTCCCCCGCCTCTTCAAGAAAGCCGTCGAAAAAATTGGGGCAGCTTTGGAAGCAAATATAAAATCTGGTTTTCGAGCCTGTGGGATCGTGCCATTCAACCCAAATCATGTATTAAGCAAACTCCCAGACACAACTCCAGAAGAGCCAGCAGAGGAAGATTGGACAAACACACTCAAAGAATTTCTTATGGAAAGTAGGATCGCCTCCAGCCAGTTTTCTACTAGCTCTAAACAACGAGGCAAAAAATTAACGGTTCCTCCTGGTAAAGGAATAAGTGTTGGTGATCTGAGGAAAGAACATAGACAAACCTTTAATGATGAGGAGACCATGGAAGAAGAACAAAGTGAAACAACTGCAACTGAGCCAAGCTCAAGTGATGTTGAGAGCATCTCGGAGAGCATAAATAATGAAAATGAAAAGGGCACTGAAGAAATATATCAAGCAGTTGACGAAAATGAACGCGAATCAGAAGATGTCGATGATATTGCATCTGGAACATATTTGTTAATCAAACTTTCATCTATAAAAAAATAAATGCAAATTATATGTTGGCTGTGTNAATCAGACTGTTATCTATGGACTTGTGTCAGGAATATAATGAATATGCCAAGAAGTTATTGATAAACTTTGTTAAAAATTATGGTATGTTTTATAAGCCAGAAAATGTGTCGTACAATGTACACAATTTAATACACATTAGTGAAGATGTTAAAAAGCATGGACCATTAGATTCATTCAGCTCTTTTAAATATGAGAATTTTTTATATACTCTTTTAAAAAAAATTAGAAAAACTCAAAAACCTTTACAGCAAATTTGTAAGAGGCTACATGAAGAAAGTTTATTACCTATCCAAAATCCAAAATGTAAATTTCCCTATTTAGGTGTAAGTAATAAGTTAAAAAAAGAATTAAAATTTCAAAATTTTACTCTAACTAATAAACATCCAGATAACTGTGTTCTTTTAAAAGACAAAAAAGTTGTATTAATTACAGATATATTAGATAATGGCGATAATGTATTTGAAATAAATGGCAAACAAATTTTGAACTGTGAATCGTTTTTTCTTATGCCATTTGATTCTAAAATGATAGATATTTATGTTATAAATACATCATATTCATCAGATTTTTTACAAATTGCAATATCAAATATTTACTGTAAATGTGTACTTTTACCTTTCAATGACAGTGTAGCAAATAATAAATTGTTATGTATTGCTCTGTTACATTTGTATGGTTGTGAAAATTAATATAATAAATTACATATTATTCTTGTTTCCAACAGTAACTACTTATTTTGTAATCCAGAATCATATTCTCTATAATTTATAATTGACTGTTGATGTTTTGTTAACTTTTGATGTAATGCATAGACGAGAGTAAAATGTAATGTATATCTCATAAATTTAGTTATAAAGTATCCATCATGTATGCAGTGGTTGTCTTCACAAAAGAATCTAGTGACACTTTTAAAAGTGTTCAAGAGATACCTGTATCATGGTTGTCGGAAGACAGAAAATTTTGTCGATGGCCACCAAAAAATAGTTGCATTTATACAGCAAATAATGTTCAGCCTCAAGACGATTGGCCTTGGCATTCTGTAGAAGTTGAAATAATTTGTGGTAATATTATTTTAAAGTAAATAATTCAGCTCTTATGTTCCCTTTTTTATGCATACAGATTCATTAAAAGAAGCACAAAAAAGGAGCAAAAAAGAAGTTAGTACTGATGAAGAGCAGCTTGGAAAAGGATTTCGCGCTCCAAAACCGAAGGATTATTATAGCCCTGATACATCCGTGCCGAGGAGAAGAATGGACAAGGGTATGTAGCTACCTTGAATACAAATCGAAGTATTGTTGCTCTTAGAGTCATTTATATATACCGTGAATTGAACAAATTTTCAGAAAATTGTCCTCTATTAATAAACAATTGTGACGAATTGTCACCATGCAGGTTAAGCTAAATTTAGAATTCATCTATCTTTCTTTTTAGATCAATATGAATTTCCACCTACATTGGAAAGTATGAATAATTGTGTTGCACCCGTAACAGTAGAGAGAATGAACTCGTTTTTACCTGGGGAACATTATGTGAATACTGTTATTAGTAATCGGCAGAATCATATAGATATAGTAGAACCTACTAATCTTGAATCTGTGAATTCTGAAGAAACACTCTTGACCGAGTTAGGTGTACTCTCTGATGCAGATGAAATATCATCTTCAGGTAAACTAAATCAATAACTTTGGAGAACACCTATATAGAAAATGAGTCGAATCCCAATTTGTTTTAAGTTTTCATTTCAACTTTTTTGTTTACATTGAAATTTAATTCAATCCAATTTTATAATGTTTTCTTACTCCCGTTTCAAAATATGCAAATTAAGGTGGTGTCACTTTATCGGTTTTATAATGAGGAGCATTATGATACAGTTTTTCATTATGAAACTGTTTTTTTTCTTCTTATTATTTTTTTAACCAAGAAGACCTGTGAAAATAGTGTTATTTTTACAGGTCTGTCACAAGGAAATTGCATTCTTTTAAAAATAACTTGTAAATGGTCGTAGCAGAAATAGTATATGCAACTCTCATGTAATGGCCAATAATACTCGCATGAAATATACGAAACTTGTCTATAGNTCGTACCTAACCTCAAAAAATATTCCAAATCACTAAAATTACACTTTTTCTGGTTGAGTTATAAAGTCTGATCACAATATCACCAAAATCACTTATAATCTATTACAGGTAAAGAAATTAAAGTTGATTATTATATCCGATTGATCTGTTATTTACAAAAGTTACCCCCAAGCCGTATCACTTCTCTAACCCTCTCGTGGTAGTTCTAATATGGCGCCTGAAGATACACATAAAAAACACGAAATATTGGATAGCATCACTCAAAACGCTACTATTTTTCAAAAAGTCTTTGGTGGGCTGACACTTTGATAAGGGTTTCGATCAAACCATTTTAATTCCTGAGTTCATTGACTGAATCCACATACTGAAACAAATTTCGAAATAGTATTTGCCGAATCGATTAAGATTACATAAGAATTATTCCGTCCTTTCAGTCCTTTCGATATTTTTAAATTCAACAGGTTAAACAATATACGCTTTTTGTGTTTAATCGGGTCGAGGCCGTTATCATGGCTAAGACATAAAGTCTGCATTACCTTTTCTTTAGTATAATATGCAAAATTTCTAAAAAAGATTTGTTCTTTTTATATGGAACATACCTTTCATCATATCACATACTCGTTTGGAAAAAAACATAAAAATATAGTGGTCGCACTTTATAACTATTATAGCTTTTGAAGTTAGGTACGACTAACGAGTAGTTGGGTTCAAACGGATGTAGGAATTCGATTCAGTGACCCCAAAAATATAAAGATATGTTAGTTACACTTCATTCCTAAAAGTAGAAAAGTGTAATCTTAGCAATTTGCGCTACTTTTTTGAGGTTAGGTACGAACTCTGACTNCAACAGATTTCCAGCCTCAGATCAGTAATGAGGTTATGTTATTGGAATATGTAAGTAATTGTGTGGCGTCGTACTAATTTCGCATTGTTTTTACTGATTTGTTACTTATAAAAACTAATATTTATATAATATATGTCAAAACGGTACCGCTGTTGTATCACTACAATTATGAGTGGAAAGGTGACATTTTTAAAATTTATTTGCTTTGATTCGTTGGTAGAACTGATTCATGCATCAAAAAACTTGACAAAGTCCTGTAGCAGTATAAAACAATACTGTTTACCAATAAATTCGTGAATTAATTCATGAAGAACTTCGTCAATTTATTGTTGAATAAATTGTCAATGTAAAACAGCTATTAGGAATGTGTCACTAGAAATACTTATTCGGAATTAAATGTTTCAAAAAAATTTCCATTTGGAGCAAAATTTGCTCACTTCGATTATTTACAAACGACAGAGTAGAGTGTGTACGTGTAAAAGTTGGAAAAACTGAAAATGTTGCTATTTTTATTTTTATTTATTATCGTATGTTCTTTTTTCTGTAAAATATAAAATAAAGTTTTTACTTTTACTCTAACCATGGACATGATTTTTTTTAAATCAAAGTGCCAATTTTGCTGCAAATGGAAGTTCTTTTGGAACTTTTAATAGCAAATAACTTTTCCGAAATGTAAAAATAAAGGTAGTTTATTACTTATTACTTACTTATTTTCATATTTTTTATTTTCTGGACACCATGTACATGAAATGTTAACTTCCTTCATGGCAATCTCATTNTTTATTTATTTATTTAACTGTTCGAAATCACCACATCTACTCATAAAACTCGGTTTACTGCGAAAATACACACGTGTTCGAATACCCCCCACATGTAGGGGTGAATTCGGACAGAAAAAACCCAAAAAATATGAAATATGATAATGACAAATTTTCGCAAATTTTTCGATGCAATTCTCTTTATTAAGGATTCAGATTTTTTTGACAATAAATAAACATTTTATTAACAAAAAACCGTGAAAATCGTCCGAATTCACCCCGAGTGACGATACTCTTCAATCTTCGCTTTTACTTATCAATGATCAATGATAAAAAAATACTGCAAGTGCTGCTGAATAGTGAATACTGCAAATATCGCTTTCATCAGTTTCATCGCATATTAATAATAGTAAAATATTGTTATATCTGATTGTGGATTATGGAAAAGTGGCTAAAAATGTAAGTAATAATTGAAAATAGAATAACGGGTTTTGTTTATATATGGTAATTATTTGGTATAGTTTAAAACTCTCCGATTTTTATAAAATTTTATCAACTTCCTATTTTCGAGAATGCAGATCTGGAATGATTCTTCTATAATTCTATCTAAAAATTAATATATTGTAATCAGATATGTTATGTGATTTTAACCTATCTAACCTAGATCGGAGAGGGTATACACTATATTTAAGTAATTGCTGTATGTTTTTTTATGAAAAAATATTTATCTGTTGTTATTTAACCAGGTTCATGAACATAAAAAATGCCAAGATATGGAAAAAAATATCGAAGACTAAAATATAAGTAATGATTTTGATGGCTTGGACACCGAAAATCACTCGGACCAACCTAGCAAAAAATTGAAAGTCGAAGAAACTTCAAGCAAAATTTTCTTCTGCTTGGTTAAACAAACCCGAATTTAAGGAATGGATATCGAAAGCACTAAAAACTAAACCTAACTCTAAGTAAAAATGAAATGGCATTTTGTAGAATTTGCCAATGGGATTTCGGAATTTTTCATACCGTTTTTTAAATTCTTCAATTAACAAAAGAATACTCTGATGTTCCCATACAAAATCATCTACAAATCAAATACATATTATAATTATGATACCCAGTTTATATTTACAGGCATAGCAAATTTGCAAAAATTCGTTGGTATTTTATTTATATTTTATAGTATTATTGGTATTATTTTTGCAAATTCCTATTTAAAATTAATAAGTAACCCACTATTTGCATTTTCCAAATTATCATCTGACATGTACTGATTCTCTGATTCTGTTGTACGATGTTCCAACTGATGTTCAAAATACTGTTGTGCAAATGCAGGGTCTGCAAAATAATAGGTAAATTTAATATTAGCAAAATTTTATGTAATAGTATAGAAAATAATAATAATATTAAATTGTGGATCCACTTACCATTTTCCAACCTTTCATGTGTTTCATTTGTTTCTTCTATAGTAAAAAAATGTATCGTTAAATAAATTCAGTTCGTTCGATAATCTATGATAGGCAAAGCAACTCAGCCGCTTTGTATGGCTGAACGCACCCAATGACTCTTTTAATAGGTAAGTATTTTAAAACTGATTAATCATAATAAATAATACCTAATTACCTACACTTTTTTCAGGTGATAGTGGTTACCCTCTCGAAAAACCTGGCTTTTTACACCTTTTCTTAATCCACACAATCAAGGAGAGGAAGCCTTTAACAATATACTTACTTCAGCCAGGAATGTTATTGAAAGGACAAACGGTATTCTCAAAGGAAGGTTTCGCTGCTTGTCAAGTCAGAGAATTCTAATGTACAACCCAGTAAAAGCTGCAAATATAATTTACACTTGCTGTGTTATTCATAATATTGCGAAAGAGGCAAATTTAGAAGATGGAGAAATCGAATAGTCTGAATATAATCAAGAAATTAATGGTACTTATAATTTATTTTAAAATTCATCTTTCTATTCTTCAATTTTTCAGAACCTGTACCTGATAATGGTAATATTTACCAAATGGGACAAGCAGCCAGAGCCAACTACATCAGAAACAATTTTAATTTTGACTAAATAAAACAACACAAACATGTTATATTTTTTTATTCACATTTAAAAATTTGAATTTTTTTATTTCAAAATTCAGTTTTTCTTTTTTCAATTTCATATAATTTTCTGTAAAATTTTCACATAATTCTAAAATTTTTTTTCGATTCTCTATGCCTTGTCCATTCAGGTGAATTAAATTTTCTGCCAAATCTGACAAAGGTTTGGCCCTAATTCTCTTGCTTATTTCAGGTTTTGATGTGGCTGGTATATTCTTTTTTGTTGTATTTTCATTAATAACGTATTCTCTTGTATTTTCACCATTGTCAGCTCAATGATCTCAAAATTTACATCCGAAACATTGAATACTTGAAAATGTTCCTGCAGTGGTGATGAAGGGACTATGGTTTCATTTGTAGACTGAGATGGAACTGGAATGCCTTCGAATTCAGTTACAGTCTTGACCCCTTCTACTGTTACCCTGCCCCATATATTTAGTGCTCGGTCTTCCAGGGGAGTTAATTGTACTTCATTACTGGGCCCACCCCCTGTTTTATTTCTATGGCTCAAAATTTTCCTATATTTTGCCTTTGTATTTTTTGTAAGGGTTTATTGTATTACTACGAAAAGCATAGTCCCCTTCCATTGCCTCCAAATATAATTCCAATTGTTGAGTGCTGGTGTTTTTTGTTCTTTTACGTTTTATCGTCTTAGACGTTTACAGATAATATCCCTGAATTACCACTTTTACGGTTTCATAAACACTTTAGTTAGAGATTATCGTAAGCTATAGATTTACGAATTTACAGAAATTTTACGAGCGAACCCAGAATCGCTCCATATGAAAGACAAGAAAATTATATTTACCTAAATTTATAATAAAATGTATCGCTGGAAACACTGTGAAACTCGTTGCGGTGTTTTTTTTCCAGCTATCATGGGAATAGAGCATAGAGCATCTGCGGCACGTGACCAAAATTGGCGTGGCTACTTGCTTGGAGGTAAAACAAAGAAAATCATAACCTCAAATGTATTTATTTCTACGTTACAAACTCGTTATGTACTGGTATTCGGTAAAGGTACCTACATACATTCCGGAAATCTCAAAGGAAAAACTGCACAGGCCTGGCCTTGAGGATTACCGGAGCGTGTATAGAGAACGCCGCAAGTTTTATCGGACTGTACAGATCGACGAAATTAGAATTGAAAATCTATTTGATAATCTTTCGCAGGCCGGGACTGTACAGGCCGACAGGACCGTGTACGGTGTGACGATTTTCTACCGTTGACGCCGGCTAGTGTGCTTCCCGCGATACAATATTTGATATTATGAAAATTGAAGCATGTGCCAACATGTCCCGCGAAGTTCTAGAGGAATTTATTGCTACTTACAAATCTGAATCATGCCTCTGGCAGGTTAAATGTTAAGCTTAGTTTCCATGGTCCGGAATTCCGAATTGCGGATCCGGATTTCAGCATATCCGTTGCTGGAGTAAATTTTACTTGTTTTCATGGTATGGAATTTATTTGGATTTTTACTATTTTTAACACAAAACATCAACATATTTTACGGTTATGTCATGAATGGATCTTTATCCTCATTTTAGTCTATGATTTTAGTAATAAGAATAAGTATAATTTGTGGTGGTAGTAAAGAGAAAAAATGGAAAAAACGTATTATATTAATTACTATAGAGTGAATGTATCTGTTGTCCCGCCCCCACCGACTGTCGGCCAGTTCGACAGATATTTGAAAATAATAAGGATATTTCAAGTCTAACCATTAGAACCATGCAGTGGATTATACAAAATGCGTAAAAAAATTACTAGAACAACAACACAATGCAAGAACTAAGTCTGACATAGTTGGTTCCACACAGTTACTAACAAATCAAGATTTCAAATCGGAAGGAAAGGTCATCAAGGCAATTGAAGATAGCCTGTATGAATGAATATAGCATAAATATTAAAGTGACTAAAAACGAAATAAAGTATCTTGAAGAAAATAATTTCAATTCACACATAAATGCTAATGAGCAAACTGTAGACGAGAATGAATCGGTAGTTGAACCCACCAAATGAGTCCGACGCTGTATTTTCAAATGACCCACTGATTGAAATGGATACAGTCCCCAATATCTTGGAAACCCCTGACCACGAAAGTAGAGATGGAATGGAGGAATGCCTGGCTTACCCGATCAAGTTCATTTCCAGATCATTCCTAATAACGTGGTTGCAGACACAGCGTATAAAATGTCTGAAAACGAAATGCCCGATCCCGATCGCCATTATTCCATGGCTAGAAATTGGCCTTAATGATTTGGGATCGAGGGGGATTATCCCTCTTTATCCTGCCTCATCTCGTGTAGGCCTGGACAGCCTTCGTAGGTGGGCCCCATCCGTCGTCTACCCCGACCGCAAATGCGGCCGGTGTAGGCGCTTTGTGGGACCTCCTTTTGTCCTGGCTGGGCCCCGCCGGCTAGGGCCCTTTCTTCTGGCGCTCTTCTTGCTTCGCCGGCTCGTCTGTGTAAACCCCGGGGGTAGTGTCATGTTTATGTGTGGTATGGTTGGGTAGGGTAGTGCGGCTATGCAGCCTGGGATGCGCTTTGCTAAGGTGGCCCTTAGCCCAGCGCGGGAGGGGAGGGGAAAGGAGGGTATGAGGGGTGTGTGTGTGTCGTTGTCTTCGTTTCTTGATCCTGGCTGTCTCTGAAACAGAAAAGGTTAACGGGCGGGGGGATCCCGATCAATCCCTATGCAACATGCCAGATGAAGCAGTCTCCGATGTTTCGCTCAGAGACACCGTTCAAAAAACCCCGGAAAAAACAGATCCCTACTGTGAATGTTTTGATATCGTTCGTATTAATGAAGCAGATACATCACACAAAATATCTGAAAACGAAATACCCGATCAATCCCTACGTAATATGACGAGGTAATCTGCAATGCTTCGGTTACAGATATTACTCACGAAACTCCAGAAAAAAAGCAGTCTCACTTTGAATGTTTTGATAATATGGAGGAAACGACAGGTGCTGAAGTTACTCCTTTCAGCAAGCATTTGATATACTCTGCAGCAGTTAGGCAGGTGGGAAATTCCGAGCGAAAAGAAAAGTTACCCAGTGCGATTTCATGTCAGGAATGGAGATTACGAAAAAAAAGACGAGGCGAAGAGAAAGAAAATAGAAGATGTACGGAAGAGGAAAGAGTTAAGAGAACTGAATAGACAAACACAGGAAACACGAAAACGAAAGAGAGCAATCAAAAAGGTAAACAATAATGGGAAAAGTGCAATGAAAGAAATTTACGAGTTTGACTCGAACAAGGAAAGAATAAAATGTTCTCTTTGTGAAGACGACTTAATTAGTGAAACAAAAGAAGATTCAGAAAAAAAACTGGTTGCGATCAATACCCGCGGTGATATCACTTGCAATAGTTAAATAACCAAATGTGCTTCAGGTTCTTATCAGTTAAAACACTTCGGAATTATAACTTATTTGTTTGTTCTATCAGCTGGACAACAATACATCAAGAGTACATTCAAATTAGAACTGAATAATGTTAGAAATCGGAACTATTTATATAAACCAATTTTCCAAATATTTATTTTAGATAAGGACGCGAATGCTTCCATAATTCAAGTTACACATCCTGTACAAAGCCCGGATCTTCCTTTATTTTCATATCTCGTTCTCCTTTATGCATAATACATTGTTATGTATACCTTTCCTATCTATTGACGTCAATGTAAATGATAAGAGATCCCTATATAAACTCATGCGAGATCTCTCATCATCAGTGTAATAGTATTAGTAGTCATAGCTTGTACTGACCATCTAGTAATCAATAAAAGTGTTTGAACAAATAAGTGTGTTAAAGTCTTCCAAGTCACGAATTGCAACTTTAACTCTCATTACATTATGCATATTTGTATGTGCGGCCATGAAAAATATATAATTATGGACTGGATGCGTAATGATGATGTCACATAACTCCTCCATCCTAAAAAGGAAGTCGAGGGGTATCGGATGGACTACTCTGGAGTGGGTCAGGTCCGACTGAGACTTGCTCATTTTCTTTGCTGAAGTAGACTATTAATCCAGTCTGGATGTCCTTTCTCTTAATCCAAATGAAATATATTATAATCATTATTAAGATGGTAAGTGGTGGTACCAAAGAATTTCAAGATCAGTTTTTTCTTCAGGTAAGTCTCTAATGGTCACTGGTGAAAGTTGCTCTAATTGATTTTGTATCTCCGATATTTCTTTAATTTCCAATCTGGTATCATTGATTGGACTCAACGAGGTAGAATTTGATACAAACTTGATTCTCGGAAGTAAGAATGTTGAAGACATCGTTGTGGGTCTCTCATATTGATATGTTTGTCCTGAAATCTCGAAGGAACAGTGGGGTGCCAAGGTTACTTTCATCAATCGGTATATCAATTTCTTTTGGAATAGGTTAATGTGACATGTACGAGCCCAGGCTCATAATAGTTCGGCCGGTAATAATTTGTAACTATATTTTTGAAGATAATATTAAACTTAAAACAAAGGTGCAAAATTTAATCAAAACTATTACAACTATATTCAAAACTATACTTTTAAGTAGCTGAAACTGAAAATTATAATTAAATTACGTAAAGAAACAAATCAGTATAACAAAAAATGTATTTCACGTGGTAGGTCATAATAGTTCGGCCGCTTATCGTAATTGCCATGAAATCGAGCTGACTAGTTAAAACAAAGCAATTATGAAATATATCAACAAGACAGCTGTCAGTATTAGTTTCAAATCATATTTAAAGCATAATGCCTCGTGGTAAGCCCTTAAGTAAAGATTTTCGTTTGTCCATCATTAATGCCCATAAGAAAGGTATTTCGGCACGTCGAATTTCAGTTTCTCATTCTGTGCCGCGTTCTACCGTTCAAGACATTATCAATTTATATAAAACTACTAATGGAGTTGATCAAAAAATTAAAACCGGCCGACCATCTACAATTACAGAAGCAAATAAAAGAGCTTTACGGAGAATTGTGAAAACAAATCGGAGATCTAACACTAAAGAGATAACTGTTTTATGGAGAGAAAGTATAGCCAAGGATANAGTAGAGAACATGGAAGTTCTAGTATTCATTTCTTTAGCTAAATCTTTTTCATTGGATATTAGTATTTCGTATTTATTTTTAATACTATCTGTCATCCGTAGTGGCTATTCCGAATAATTCTTTTTCAATGTTACCTACAAAATTGAGTAATCCTCTTTTAGGTCTACTGTTTTTAGTTAATGGAATTATCTTTTTGTATTCTTGCGCAACTAATATTTTTAAATTGTATTCATTTGAATCATATTGAGCTAAAACGTTTAATAGGACGTTAGTATCTTTGTATGCATCAAAGAGAGGGTTCATGTCTAGTTTGTGGATGAAAGTATGGTAATGACTTATTGTCCGAATGTTTTTTCCAAGTCCTTTAAATATTGTTGGATGATCTATGGGATCGAAGGTTATATCGCCTAGGACCTTGTGAAGAATTAGAAGGGATAGGAGAGTCTGTGTCTTCATTCTGTAACAAGGGTTTTTAGATTAGTTTTCTATTTTTCTGGATATTATTTTTATGAATGGTTCCATTAGTTGTTATTATTATCTTATCGTTATCTTGTATGACTTTAGATTTCTTAAATCGCGGGTGATGTTTAGGAGTGCGTTTTGGTGATTTGATATAGATTTCTTGGTCAGGAGTTACAGGTTCCGGCTCATTTAATTTTACATTTCGTTTCTGAATGGTATTCTCTTTAGAGACGTTTGAATTCGTGTTTTGATAGTTTCATGTATATTTGACATATCTTCTTTATGATTCTGGATATATTGGGACGTTATTCGTTGATTAGAATGATTGAAGGGATCAGTTCGGGGACCATGTATTACTTCGAAAGGAGTCATTTTGGTGACAGAATGAATAGATTTGTTGTATAGGAGGACTGCTAATGTTATAAGATATTTAATGGGTTTTTGTTGTTCTTGTTTTAGGCATCTAATAGAATCTGCAAGTGAAGAATGAAATCGTTCTACGGGGGAATTGGAGTTAGAGTGATAGGGGGTAGTGAAATGAAGTTCAATATTATGTAGTAAGCAGAAGTCTTTTAGATTCTGATTATTGAAATCGGTGCCGTTATCACAAGTAATTTTCGAAGGTAACCCCATATGTGATATGAAAGAGAGGATCATTTCCATGATACAGATGCTATTTTTATGTTCCAGGGAATACGCTTGCCCGAATTTGGAAAATGGATCTAAGATTGTTAAGAAGTCTTGTTTAGAAGTTTAGAAGGTGTTGGTGTTAATTGTAATTTAATCTTTTGAGGGTGGCGGTCATATTTGGAAATGCGACAAGTTTGACAAGTATTAATGAAATTTGTTACGTCAGTTGAAATGTTGGGCCAGTAATAATTTCGTTGTATAGATTGCGTGGTTTCTTTGATACCTCTATGGCATGTTTTACCTTGATGATGATATTTAATTATTCGTTGTTACTCTTGTTCTGAGTCAATATCATCTAATAATGTGTTACTGATTAATAATTTTTTATTCCTATGAAATAATAATGATGTTCTTAATATTCTTGTAATTTTCTTCTCTAAGGTAGGTGTTGAAAATTTAATGCAAGTATTTCCATCCAAAGAAATAAAGGGTTTCAAGAAATGTAATGTTTGTTCATCATCTAGATTACTCCTAAGGGTAACAAGATGTCTAGTTTTTTCAAAAATTGTTCTTGTATCGGCAATTTCCCGCGGACTAGTTGTAGATTCTGTTAGAATGATTTGATTTTTGTAATGGTTAATGGGGTATTCAGTGTATGGTAAGGTGAATATAGGGTCTTCAATGGCAGAATGTACTGTTTCTGTATCTTCGATAGGCTTGAGAGGAGTACTACTCAGTGATTTGTTTTCAAGTATTTGGCTTATTAATTGATCGAGTTCTTCATCTGCCTGAACGTTAGAAATTATCTAAGTTTTCTAATGATAAATCATCTAATTCATTGATGTTGCATTCTTCTAATTTTATTCTGCTTAAGGCATCGGCAACTAGATTTTGGTTTCCTTTTTTATATTTAATTTCATAGTCAAATTCTTCCAATTTTAATCTCCAGCGGACTAATTTACTGTTAGGCTCTTTTAGAGAAAATAGCCATTGTAACGGTTTATGATCAGTATAAATGTTAAATTTGGTCCCATAGACATAAGGTCTAAATGTTTTGCATCCCCATACAATTGCGAGAAGTTCTTTCTCAATCGTGGAATAATTGATTTCGGCTTAGTTAAGAGTTCGTGATGCGAACCAAATTGGCTTATTATTTTGTGATAGAACAGCTCCTATGGCATAATCTGAGGCGTCTGTTGTAATTTCAAAAGTTTGTTCGAAATCTAGTTAACTGAGTATAGGGTCGTTCATTAGTAAATTTTGACGGGTTTTAAAGCAATTTTTATAAGTTTCGTTTATTGTTATTGTGGAGCCCTTTTTTGACTGTGTCATAGGTTTAGTAATTTTTGCAAAATTTTTAAAGAATTTCCGATAATAACCTAAGAGGCCTAAAAATGATTTAATTTCCTTTTGGGTTTTTGGAATAGGGACATTTTTAATTGCTTGGATTTTGTCAGGGTTTGGTCGTATACCATTTCTGGTAATGATGTGCCCTAAGAAGGAAACTTCTATGTGTAGAAATTTAGTTTTATCTAACTGAATTTTGAGATTGTTTTTCCTAAAGGTTTCGAAAATTAATTGTAAATTTTGTAGATGTTCTTGTAATCCATTGGAGAAAACTATTATGTCGTCAATGTAAACCATGCATATCTTGTTTTGTAGTTCCTTTAGTACGTTATCCATGCAACGTTGGAAGGTTGCTGGGGCATTTTTAAGTCCGAAAGGCATTCTTGTATATTCGTAATGTCCGTTATCTACGTGAAGGCTGTCTTCTCTACTGAGTCTGGATGCATTTCTATTTGATGAAATCCAGAAGCTAAGTCGATTGTAGAAAAATACTTCCTAATCTATCCAAGATATCTGATATATTTGGTAAAGGATATTTGTCGTTAATAGTTTTCTCGTTTATTTTCCAATAGTCTACCACCATTCTCCATTTCCTTTTACCACTCTGATCCATTTTTTTCGGAACTATCCAAACGGGTGAAGAAAATGGACTTTGTGATGGCCTTATGTTCGATTTCCT